GGAAATGTTCTCAAGACGACTACAGGTTCAAGAACGACTAACAAAACAAATTGCAGTAGTGATTCAAGAAATATTAAAACCTCAAGGTGTGGCGGTTGTTATGGAAGCAACGTAAGTACAACCCTTATTCATAAAACCTTCTCAATAGAAGTATTTTATCAAAATTTTTATTTATTAGGCACTTGTGCATGGTAATGCGTGGAGTACAAAAACCTGGAAGTTCTACGGTTACGAGCTTTATGTTAGGAGTATTCAGGGAACAGGCGAAAACCAGAGAAGAATTTTTGAGGCTAATAAAAAGTTAGCGAATTACATTATTACCTCGTCGATAAAAGACACGTTCTTGATAAAATCAAAGACTTTCTAGAATTTTAATCAATCTTAGAATAAATTTTATGACTAATAAATTTACGATTAATTTAAAGAATTTAATTTAAAAAATAAAGTAAAATAATTTTAATAAAATCATCATGCTTTTTATAATTTAATATTACTTCTTAGATCATAAGTAACGATGTTAATCATATTCTATTCACTATTATATTATAACTAATTATTGTACATTATTAGTTGAAGGGTTATACTACTTTTATAAATATATTTTACCAAGTTAATCGATCATGTTATTAATCAAGTATATTCCTTGGGTCCTTCTTTGCCCAATTATATTTCTTTTAGATGTCATTCTTTCATTTTAAGTATTTAAGTTTCTAATGCTTTATTTCTTTTAGCTAATAATTTACTTTCTATTTAAAATGATGATGATTTTCTTCTCAATATTTCTTTTTCAATTTGTTTATAATATAACAATATAATTAAATTCTTTTTTAAGTTAATCATATAATTCTTTAGTTTTATGATTTTCTTTTTATAATTATTTATTTAATTGTTCTATTAATGTTTTTCTTTTTATAATTATTTATTTAATTGTTCTATTAATGTTTTTCTTTTTATAAAAAAATTATTTTATTTAATCTTTTTTTTATATTTCCCATCTATACTTTTATTATATAATAATTTTTCAATTATTGTAGTATTTTTATCTTTTAATCTTT